AGCTCAACAGCTAGACGGAGTACGTGGAGACACGCTTCGTATTCGGCGGTGTTGTTGGAGGCCGAAAATTGTATCCAGAGAACGTATCGGAACTTATCCTTGGTCAGCGTAATAAACAGAATGCCCGCACCAGCACCGTTGATGTTGAGGGCGCCGTCGAAGCACATCACCCAGTGCTCGGGGCAAGTAGCGGCGATGGGCTCTTGGATCTCGGTCCACTCAACGATGAAATTAGCGAGCGCCTGAGACTTGATGGTAGGCCTACTTCTGAATTTGATGGAGTAAGTGTCGAGCTCGATAACCCACTTGATGATGTGGCCGTTTTGCCTCTTTGTTGCGGAGAATGTCCCCCAGAGGGAACTCGGTGACCACGGCGATCTTGTAATACTCGAAGTAATGGCGGAGCTTACGTGACGTAATCAGGATAGCATATAGCAGTTTCTGAACTTGAGGATAATGAGTTTTAGGCTCGTTAAGGACCTCACTGATGAAGTAGACCGGACACCTTATAGGCGTGTCCGGCCTCCTCGCGTTCGACGACGATAGCTGTGCTAACGACGCGAGAAGTGACGACGATGTAGATTAGTAGAGTTTCGTCTGGTCGAGGCACCGTCATGATCGAAGGCTTTGTTAAAAACAACTTGAGCTGCTCGAAAGCTGTATCTGCCTCCTTCGACCAAGAAAAACGCTCGGAGGCCTTGAGAAGTTTGAAGAACGATAGTCCCTTTTCATCGAGGCGCGATATAAAGCGGCTGAGAATAGCCATGCAACCTACAAGCTTCTGTATATCCTTGATGCATGTTGGCCGTTTCATGTTGGTGATAGCGGAGACCTTGTCGGGGTTGTCAGCGCCGTGATCTACAGCGTTGCCGGCGTTGAGCGGCTCGAGAGCTGAGTCCGGGTTACCGTACTCTTGCTCGTACTCTTGACAGCGGCGTACTTCTTCATGGCAACCGAAGCGGCGTTCGTCGATACGTCATCGCGCATCTCGGAGATTGTTGAGGTGCACTCGACGTCCTGGTCGACCTCCTGGTTGTGTTGGCGGTGATGTTCGTTGCGGTTGCCCCTAGCTCCCCCTACAGGGGTTGCCTATCATCGCGGTGCTGGTCGGTGAAGCGACTTGGGCGGTGATCGGATCTTGGCGTGGCTGATCGGTGAATTGAGCTTGTGAAGTATGAAGGCCTCTGATCCCGGCGGATCTCGTTGACCTAGCAATGCGCCGCTTTAAACATGGCGGTGACCTTGGCGACCTCTGGTCTCTATGGGAGCCGGGCGAGCTCGTTGGTGGCCACTGCCAGGTTGGCGCTTGGAGTCTTGTAGACGTCGTGGCCGTCAACGCGGATAAACTCGTCGTCGAGGTTGCATTGGAGTGGCCTTCCTTGCGAGTCAAGCTGAGCCTCGACCATCGCAAGGGCAGCCTCGTTTTCTCATTGTTGCGCACGGTTGGCATTCCTGTTGACGCGGGCGGCGCGGTCCTCCTCGGTCTCCCCTTCCCACGGGGGGCTATCGACGCTAACGTTGAAGATTGGGCCCCCACGGAAAAGGAGGGAGAGGAAGTTGCTCGGTGGTGGTTTCGGCGAGAGTCTCCGTAGAGCCCTGGGACTCGGAGTCCGGATTCTCCTCCGGGATGGTCTGGAGAGATGCTCCAGGGCATCGGCTGACGTGTAGCATGTTGACAGCCGGCGGGAGCTGGTCGACGATCTAGTCGGCGAGAGGATGGATATCTCCAACCTGGTCAGTGAATTTGCCCCTTAGGGCATCTTGGTAGGTGGCGGCGACGTTGGTGAGCCCGAAGGTCAGAGCCACAACCCCTGGAGTTTTCTGAGCAGCCTCCGACAGATCTAGATCGGAGGGTGGTTGGCGCTGAACCAGAGTGTCTAAAGCCGATTTGGCGATGGAGAGACAATCGGCGAGCTTCCGACCAACCTGATCGATGGATGCGATCAGATCGTCGTTGTTGATCTGCCTTCTCTAGTAGCGAGGAAGCGGGCGACGAGTTGTCAATGAAGGCGACCTCGGAAGCGGTTCTAAGATCGGATCTGCAGTCGCAGGTGTTTGGGTGATTGGCGCAGAATCGATCTACACTGGCTCGATGAGCTCTCTGACTCCGTCAGCGTTGATGATCCATGAGATCGATCCGACCGTGAAGATCTGGCCGGGCTGTGGGAGGGACGAAGAGCCTGCGGAACGTACTATCTTGTTCATCATGGAAACAGCACGCACACCCCTACCTGGCGCGCCAACTGTCGACAGAATATCATCGGCAGTCCTCCGAGGGGTATCCCACGAAGGTAGATTGATCGGCAAAGAGACGGTAATCAAGAACAAGAAGGCAACAGAGACACACGAGTTAGACAGGTTCATGCTGTCAGTATGACGTAATACCCTATTCATTTGGTCTGTTGGATTGTATTGGCTATCGTATGTGGATTATATTGGCTATCGTATGATATTGCATGAGTTTAAAGGGGGTCCCTGCCTACCTTATATAGTCCGGGGGCAGGGTTATCAGTCGGTTAGATCTGAGAGATAACCGGAAAGTAATAACAGATTACAGGAATCATGGGATCATATGTATCCTAACAGATCTCGTAGTATCTTTAGGATATCTTCCCGGTGTCTTGCGGGAGGCGCCGGGCAGCGTCGTGCCCCGTAAGGCTTCGTCTTGTGGGCTAGCCCGTCCCTGAGGGCGCAATCCATGTGGTATGCCATTGGTATCAAGGTCGTACCGCCGCACAATCGGAGGCAGCTTGCCTCCACGAGGGTTGCCGAGGCCGTTGCTCACTTGGCTGCGCCGGCCATCGGAGGAGTAGCTCGTCTCACCGCGTGCCAGTGCCGCATCTCGACCCGCCGTGTGGACCGCCAGAGACGCTGCTTCTCGCGGGATCCCGCTTCTGTCCGCTCGGGCCTTTGGTGGTCGACCATTAGGCGCACCGGAACGCCCTAGCCACAGCCTAGGCCTCATCGCACCGAACGCTTAGCCGCAAGAGCCTAGGCCTTCATCGCACCGGAACGCCTAGGCCGCACAGCCTCATCGCAGACACGTCAAGGCCGTCCGTCCCAAGGGGACCGTAAGGAGATGACGAGGAAGAACGAGCTGGACGAGCAGAGTACGAAACTTGAAGAGGTGTCGGTCAGTTTTCCTTTTCTTTTTTAAATCTGGTGTGGATCCCACCATATATCCCTATCCTAAACCAAGTAAATCCAAACATGGAAAAATGATATAATCTCTCGTATACCTGCCTCAACTTTTTCGTCCTCCTAACCCTATCCCATTCCCCGTGACAATCCAAACAGCACCAAGCGGAATGTAGATCATGGATCGACGGCGTAAAAAAAACAAAGGCACCCGCATGGGCCTTCTGGTCGTTTTTTCACAATTTCTTTGGAAATTTCTGTTTTTTTATTTTTTTCTCTTCCTTTTAAATTTTTTATTTTTGTTGATTTTATATATATTCTCTTTATGGGACACTACCAATGGCTAGGACAATAAATAACACAAATAATAACAATAACTATGAGTATATCTGTATATAGTACATTGCAAATAAGTAAATGGAACTTTTTAGATTTTATTAAGGCTGAATAATTTTCTATTCAAGCTAGAAGCCATTTTCACGAGAAGAAGCTATAACAACATTTTTCTAAAATAAAAACAATTTCTAAAGTGGTATGCCGGGGCACTGCTCGACCCCCCGCGCAGGGCCGGGCCTATGTCCAAATGGTCTCAGAGATATCTTTGAAGGTTCGTCAAACATCAAGTGACTTCATCAGGCCTCATCTTGTAAATGCACATCGAGTTGCTGACCCCTATTTCCATGTGCATCTCCAGCATTTAAGATTTTTATAGTTCCGTGCCACAGTTTTTGCACCACGTTACTCCCCAAAATCATCGATATATAATTGTTTGGTCCTATGTTTTCAGGTCGCCAAGAAATTATCCAAACCATATATTCATCGAATTGCTACAGCTACTAAACCACATGTCGAGAAAATTAGAACTACTCTCAAGAGAAAATTAGAACCACTCTCAAGCCCTATACTAAAAGAGCACAAAATATATATGGACACTTTCTTGAGACAGGTACTACATATCATCAGCAGGTATTTGTTGTCTCCTTTTCCCATGTACCTCGGTCAAGATTTTTGGTCCATGTGTATACTAAGGGCACGCCATATGTTTCTTTGTTGTCAGGTATAGAACAAGAACTGTGTTTCTTCGCCCATTGTGCGGTTGTTTTTCATCAGATTAGGGGCCACGAGCTTAAATCTGTAGGTTATTGTAGCATTCTGCATGTTTCTGAGGTTTTGTAATTCATGATTCTTGATCACGTCAGCTGTAGCTTCCGCTCGCTGTAAAAGAAACACAGTTCTAGATTGAATACCTTCTTTGTACGTTCTTATCACTACAAGTCATTTTCATTGAAATTGGGGTACTTTGTAAAATCTACAACTACTATATCTTCTATTCCATAAACATATATCTTCTATATATATCACAAACCACATATGTAACATATATATTTACAATCAGCCAACCAAACATATATTTGCAGTTCTTTACCCATGCACGCTCTGTACTAGTAACCAAACATGCCAGGTGTATTCCAACAGTAACAGTTGTGTGTGTAAGCAATAGCTAATCACACAATGTTCAAAAAAGCATACAAACTTAAGCTATACATTTTCATAATAATATTATTGATGGCTGGAGTCCTCCACATGCTACGGCAATGACTAGAGCAGAGGCTTTGATTCGTTGCATAAATGATTACATCCCAAATAAATTAAAATAGTACGGATTGGGGATTGGATGCCAGCAGCGTGAATGGTTGCACTCGAAAATAACAGTTTATAAGATGTGCCAAAAAAAAGGGGGCATTGGGTGCCTCGTCTAGTGACTCCAGTGCCAACTATACATTTGCCTCAAGTCCTGATTTGATAATCCGCTGGGGGTAAGCAAGAACTGGCAAGATTCCCAGCTCACAAGTTGATTTGAATCAGTCACTAGTTCTGCAAGAAAAAAAAAACAGGTAAATTCTTTGTCCACAAATATAAGTTGGCATATCTTGTGGCGTTCTAAAGAACTTGCAAACAAGATTCTAAAGATCTGAATGCAGCCAAACCATGGCTCCAAGGGGGACAACGATGCAGTGAAACGTTTATCCAATTATTAGGTCTTAAGGTCAACTTTCGATCAATACTGATAAGTACACAATTTGAAAACTGCATTAGTATTTTCTATTAGACTACTAAAAACCATAAAGGCTCACCATTTCAACCCATATAAATCATTACATTCAAAGATCAAACAAGTATATCCAAGAAAAGCATCTGCAGTGGATTTAAAATGACAAGTCAGTGTCACACCTTTGCCTTTTAGAATTAGGCTCATCAATTTGGTCGCGGTTATGTTGACGAGAACTCATAGAATCATCTGGGACATCCCTAGCTCTGTCTGCGCTCCCAGATGCAGCCTGAATCCAGTATCAATGTTACAGGTCAACTAAATGATTAATTTTTTTTTACTAAATAAACATAATAAGCATGAGCAGAAGCAGCAATTGCCTGTGCAGGTGTGCTGCTGCTGTCTGGTGGGGCACTTTGATTCTGTGTTTCAACTTGGGAGATAAATGGCATAATTTGTCTGACCATGCTAGCAAAGCGTAGGGCCTCCGCACTGGCTCCTGACACTTCTGGTGTTGCAAGATTTCTACCCTCTCCCTGCTCGGTGGAAGCCATTGGTGATTGCTGGCTTGAGGTATTTCCTCGAACATTTTCGCCAGGGAGCATTGATCCAAGAAAGTCCATTATCTGAGAGAGTGTGACCAGACCATTCTGCTGCCCAGGTGAGGTCTCAGAGCCATCTCCAACATTGACATCAACTGGAGATCCCAGATTACCTGTAAACAACAGAATGAAGAATAGTTCAATAATGCCACAGCTTTCATTGAGAAAATCATCTAGAAAACAAAGGCCAAAAAAAGGCAGCACAAATTATGTAGAAGCATGTGTACAACTACAATCTGAGTACTTGGATGTTAGTTTCCAATAAACCAGCCATTAATTTATCAGATTAAGAGCTGGAAAAAACTACAACCAGATATGTGGACTTTAATCATATATGTGGAGTTTTTAAGTACTAATGACCACATTCAATATACAACTTATTCAAATTAAATTAAAAAACGGAATATCATAAAGACTATGGCACTGCCTCAGTACATAACTTGTGTACTTGGATAATATTAAATCAGATGGGTAGCTTTCCAGAATTCAAAATGGGGGCTAATTGTATCTGATTTCTTTACTGCTCAGCTGCACCTCACATTTGTAGTTCTGTAGCAGACTCCTTAGATGACTTAGGAGGAAGCTCATTTAAGTCGCATGATCCCATACTATGGCAAGATCAGATTGCCTATATAATGGGTGCCAGCAATTCGAATCAAGTATCAGTTAACAGAAGTTTCTTTCAAAAGAAAATCTTGAACATATCTTATTCTGATCAGTCCGATAACTAAATAAGTCACTGCCAGATCAGCTTATCAGCCCAACCAGGAGCAGTAAAACCCTATTGAGCCCCTAATAGAAACTCTTTGGTTTACTGGATATGCGACACATTGAAACAAGGTAGAAAAAGATGGTAATGAGGAAAATTGACCTGCTTCATGAGTTTGAGATGACTGAGGAATTGATTGCTGATTAGGATGGGTGCTACTACGAGCAGATTCATTTGGAGATTGACCATTTCGTTCATCATTACCATTAGTGTTTGCCCTTTGTCGAACTCGAGTGAGAAATGGATAGATAATACCAACACCTCCACTAGACGACCCTGATGGAGCACGACTGATGCCTGCAGGCATGGCAACCACTGTTCTAAGTGGCAATAGTCTAACTCCAGACTCAACTGAAAAAGGAGTGCCACTTGCAACCCCTGAAAATGCTTCACCAATATTTGCATGCGAGGCATCTCCTGGTCTATTCACATTTTGATGTGCTTGTGCACCAGCCGACTCACTTGGGTTGGCTCCAGGCACGGACCCACCTATAACAACAAAAAAAGATGCATTTAACAACTGTCATAACCAAAGTAACAACAGGATAAATGAGAACTCAAGAAAAGTAGCTACAAAGATACATCACATTTAGTACAACTATCCCCATAAAAGGTCCAAATATGTTGGCTATTAATTGTAAAATCTACTAACTAATTTTTCAATTGACAAACCCAACTTATAATTTTTTAGGGAGAAAGTAGACCTGATCATGGGACAACCAACCCGTCACTGCATCAGGTCAGGTTCTGGCCATGGATGCAACCCATGACCCGACCCAACCCGAAAAATCCTGACCCAAAGTAGGAAAGCCCAAAAAAAAACCCGAGAAATAGCCTGACAGACCCGACATTTTTTTCGGCCAAACCCGTCCCAGTGTTTGATCAGGTCTAGGACAAACACACCATATTGTTCTGGTTTATAAAGTATGCCAGAGATCCCAGGTTGAGATCATCCAAAATCCAATATCAAAACCTGGCATCCCCACAGAGTTCAACCACCTGCTAGACATTATAACATTCAAACTTCCTATTGGCAGGCCCACTCTCATTGTAGTTGTGGGATTTGCACCAATAACACCACTTGCAGAGCACTTCTCATCCATAGCACCAGGCTTTGGTCCTACATGCCATTGACACAGCCTGGTGGCATAGCCGCATAGATGAAAAGTTCGGTTGAAATGATATAGATGAAACATTTTCTATTTATTTAGAATTATAGACTAGTTCAGCCATATGCAATAGTTCGGCATACTTAGACATGATGTGAGCAACTTTTCCATAAATTCAGTCAAACAAATGTGATGCTTGCTTGAAGATGATAGCATCCCAAGAGGAAAACACTAATGGTAATGATGAACGAAATGGTCAATCTCCAAGACTTGTGTGGACATGGATATCAACATCTCACTTGTGTGGACATATTCAGTATTACTCACTTGTGTGGACATGGATATCAACATCTCTCGGATGTAGAACAGATCCTTGCGAACCAAGACTGGAAAATAATGTACCCATTTGGACAGACCTTCCTGGAAATGGAACAGGCTGAACAAAATAAATTAGCAAGCTTGTTATCAGTGAATGCTAAAATTTAAAATTCCAAAATCTCACTTGAACCATAAGAGGATTTGGCCCTGATGGAGAGATATAAAGAGCTGGTCCAGAGTTTACAACCGCTTCTGACTGAAAAGAAGGTACAACAAATCAATACAATAGTGCATAATAATATCTAAGCGGAAATGAGGTCAAAACAGTTGTCAGGAAAACCTACAGATGACGGATTTATACGCAGTAGCATTGTGGTGCGGCCAAGTTCCAGAAGCAAAGAACCAAGGTTCTGAAGTAGAGAACCCATGCGAACTGCACTACTTTGAATGCCCCTTCGTGTTGCAGGATCAGTTACATTCTCTAGATCTCCCAGCTGAGCTGAGAGTTGCTGTATTGTTTTACAACAGTATTAACTTCAAGATACACTTAAGAGATGTTCAATTGAAAATAACAAGAACTTATAAGCAGGGAATTAAATAGATACAAACAAACTTCAAAAAAAATACATGAGTCGTGCATGGGAATCACATTTATTTTTATTTGTATTGAAGTATTACTGTAAACATGTCAAAGGAGCACATAGATGCTCCAATTCCCTGACTGAACACTAACAGATTACCCTTTACTACCAAAATTAAAGCATTCACATAGTTCAGTCATGATCAAAACCGCACTGTTTCCTTGGTATGAAATGTTGACCAAATAGGCGATGAAAAACATTTTTAAAAAAATAACCAGGGATATCATGTGTACAACAACAACAACAACAACAAAATAGCCTTTCAGTCCCAAGCAAGTTGGGGTAGGCTAGAGTTGAAACCCACCAAGAGCCCCAAGTCACGGTTCAGGCACTTCAATAGCTGCTTTCCAAGTACTCCTATTCAAACATAGATCTCTAGGTATATCCCAAGCTTTCAAATATCTTTTTATTGCCTCCCCCCATGTCGATTCCGGTCTTCCTCTACCTCTCCTCATATTATTAGCTTGGCTTAGGACTCCACAATGCACTGGTGCCTCTGGAGGTCTCCTTTGGACATGGTCAAACCACCTCAACCGATGTTGGTCAAGCTTTTCTTCAATTGGTGCTACCTCTAGGCGATCACGTATATCATCGTTCCGTTCCGAACACGGTCCATTCTTGTGTGACCGCAAATCCATCGCAACATACGCATTTCTGCAACACTCAGTTGTTGAACATGTCGAATCTTTGTAGGCCAACATTCTGCTCCATACAACATAGCCGGTCTAATCGCCGTACTATAGAACTTGCCTTTTAGCTTTTGTGGTACTCTCTTGTCACAGAGAATGCCAGAAGCTTGTCGCCACTTGATCCACCCTGCTTTGATTCTATGGCTAACGTCCGTATCAATATCTCTATCCCTCTGTAGCATCGATCCCAGATACCGAAAGGTATCCTTCTTAGGCACTACTTGACCTTCCAAACTCACATCTCCCTTCTGTACAACTCCGCCAAAGTCGCATCTCATGTATTTGGTTTTAGTTCTGCTCAATCTAAAACATTTAGACTCAAGGGTCTGTCGCCATAACTCTAGTTTCCTATTTACTCCCGCCTGGCTTTCGTCCACTAACACTACATCATCAATGAACAACATACACCAAGGGATATCCCCTTGTATGTTCCTGATAACCTCATCCATTACCAAGGCAAAGAGATACGGGCTTAAGGCTGACCCTTGATGAAGTCCAATTTTAATCGGGAAGTAATCTGTGTTACCATCGTTTGATCGAACACTAGTCACAACATTGTTGTACATATCCTTGATGAGGGTCACGTACTTTGATGGGACTTTATGTTTGTCCAAAGACCACCACATAACATTTCTTGGTATCTTGTCATAAGCCTTCTCCAAGTCGATGAAAACCAAGTGGAGGTCCTTCATCTGCTCTCTAAACCGCTCCATAACCTGTCTTATTAAAAAGATTGCTTCTGTGGTTGACCTTCCGGGCATGAAACCAAATTGCTTTGTTGATATCTACGTCGTTCCTCGCAGGCGCTGCTCGATGACTCTCTCCCATAACTTCATAGTGTGGCTCATCAACTTAATTCCCCGATAATTAGTACAACTTTGGATATCTCCATTGTTCTTGTAGATTAATACCAATATGTTTCTTCTCCACTCCTCAGGCATCTTGTTCGATCGAAAGATATTGTTGAACATCTTGGTTAACCATACTATAACTATATCCCCGAGACATCTCCACATCTTGATTGGGATACTATCAGGGCCCATCGCTTTGCCCCCTTTCATCCTTTTCAAGGCTTCTCTGACCTCCGATTCTTGAATCCTCCGTACAAAGCGCCTGTTAGTGTCATCAAACGAGTCGTCCAGCTGAACGGTGGTGTTCTCGTTCTCACCATTGAACAATTTATCAAAATACTCTTGCTATCTATGTCTGATCTCATCCTCCTTCGCCAAGAGCTGCTCCCTCTCATCCTTTATGCACTTGACTTGGTTGAAGTCCCTTGTCTTCCTATCGCGAGCCCTAGCCATCCTATAAATGTCCTTCTCTCCTTCCTTCGTACTCAAACGTCGGTAAAGGTCCTCATAGGCCCGCCCCTTTGCCTCACCGCTCGTTTTGCAGTCTTCTTTGCCACCTTGTACTTCTCTATGTTGTTTGCACACCTGTCATGATACAAGCGCTTATAGCACTCCTTTTCCTTAATAGCCTTTTGCACATCTTCATTCCACCACCAAGTGTCTTTCGAGTCGCATCCGCTCCCTTTGGTCACTCCAAGCACCTCTGAAGCAACCTTCCGAACGCATGTTGCCATCTTCTCCCACATGTTATTTGCATTGCCTTCATCATTCCAAGGGCCCTCTTCAATGACCTTTTCCTTAAAGACCTTTGATGCCTCTCCTTCTAATTTGCACCACTTCGTTCTAGCAACCCTAGCTTGTTTGTTCCCACGAGCTTGCACCAGAAAGCGGAAGTCAGCCACCACCAGCTTGTGTTGAGCGACCACACATTCTCCAGGTATCACCTTACAGTCCACGCATGTTCGTTTATCCCTCCTTCTTATAAGGACAAAGTCGATTTGACTAGAGTACTGGCCACTACTAAAGGTCACTAAATGGGACTCTCTTACGGAAGAAAGTGTTAGCTATCATCAGATCAAAAGCTATGGCGAAGTCTAAGACTTCCTCTCCCTCCTGGTTCCTACTACCATATCTGAAACCCCCATGAACCGCCTCGAAACCTGCACTTGATGTACTTACATGGCCATTAAGATCACCTCCTATAAAGAGCTTCTCGCTACTAGGGACAGCTCTAACCAAGTGATCTAAGTCTTCCCAGAAAAGCCGCTTAGCACTCTCATCATGGCCTACTTGGGGGGCATACGCACTAATTACGTTTAAGACCATATCACTAATGACAAGTTTAACTAAGATGATCCTATCCCCTTGCCTTCTCACCTCCACTAGATGATCCTATCCCCTTGCCTTCTCACCTCCACCACACCATCCTTGAGGCTCTTATCAATCAAAACTCCTACTCCATTTTTATTTGAAGTTGTCCCTGTGTACCAGAGCTTGAAGCCGGTATTGTCTACCTCCTTCGCCTTCTGCCCCTTCCATTTAGTCTCTTGGACGCATAAGATATTTCCACGAGGGACGTCACTGGTACATGTTCCGTTTTTAATTGACAAGAATGATGTATGTTATTTCAATATAAAATACATCATGGTACACGGAGTTGCGTATAAACCAGTGGATTTTTGGTAGAATGGATGCCACTGTAGAGCATTCGATTTGATCCTACTATTGGACTATTGGTGACTGGATTTTAAAAAGTGCCAACTGAGGGTCCATGGATCTACAAAACACAAATCTTGCAGTACCATAGTAATAATAATACAGATAAAAAAGAGAACATTTGCCATCATTCAAATAGCAAAAAAATACAAATTTACATGTTTATTATCAGAAATAAATGAGGTTTACTATCAGCAAACATCAAGTAATGCACAACATCAAGTCAATAGCAATGAACAGAAGACATTAAACAAAGCAGTAAGAACATAAATTAAGATTAGCTAACTGGTACCAGTAATAAGATTTTGAAAGATGCGACTTACAGACAGCAATGCACCAGCCTGTTCAACAACAATTTGCCTAGTGGAGTGCATATTTTCAGCTAGCAAAGATGCATTATGAAGCCCAAGCGCAGCTGATTCAGGCTGGCTTTCCTGATTTTGAGTACCACCAACACTAGTAGTACTTCCTGCAGTTCTGTTTTCCACATTACCCTCTGTTTGTCCTGTAGAAAAAGATAAATGGAGGTAAACCTTAAGTGGATTACATGATGGATGTAGCTCACAGAAGAATAAAATCAGACCATTAAGATTAAAGCCCTCCCTCCTAAATGAGTCCCTCATAAAGTCAATGTACTGAGACATAGTTGTCAAAGCATCAGGGATGACCTACAACAAAGGAATACATAAATTAAACACATCCTTTTTGGGAATCAGGATGAGCATGCGACAACAATCAGATGAATATTTACATTTGGTTGTGATGACTCGTGTGCTGGTTCAGACGGGAAAAGCAGAGGAGCTTGTTGCTGGTCGAGTTCAACTCTTACAGTATTTGGGATGGAAGATTGTGCAGGATCTGAAGGTCTGGTGTCAGAAGATGCTGATGTACCCTGGCATCAGAGAAATTATTTTCAAACAAGTTTCTATCTAAATAAATAATCTAAAATTACTTTAAGGTCACTGGATTACCGAAGATTGTGCATTGATTGTTCCAAGCACGCTTTGGAGAATCTATCAAAAGAATAAGACAAATTTTTTAATATAATCAAGCTATATGTCAAACTTATAGGTTCTTCAGCAAAAGAACGGTGGGACAGAACGCCTCAATGCATGTAGGAAATTACTCTCACCTGCGCAACAAAAGCTGGGAGTTCACTGCTCCCAGGATCCACATTAACAGCCTCAAGTACTACACTTCTTGCCACTGTGGGTCCACGACGACGGCCAGAATTTGATGTGTTACCTGTAAAATTGTACCAATTTACAGTGCATATAAGTTAGTATCCAGAAGTGAACATGGAATATTTGGAAATTGGAAGATGCACCGTGAAAATGTAACGGTTATTATGGTATTATGTTACAAATGCTCAGTCCAGACATGTTACAGGCCATAGTGTTATTTGGAAGGAGTCCGACAAAGATTGGACCATCAGAGATAAGCCCTTTGAATAACGAATAGTTTAGCTTAGCTCCAAAGTGAAGTTGTGGCAGAGAGTGCATTAGTTGCCATATAGTGAGGGTGCTTGACTATACATACAGATATATTAAGTCAATAGCACAAACTAAAACATAATGGAAAGATCTAAATCACAAAAGGTGAAAATAGCATACATCGCAGATAACTTTCAATGTTAATACTACTATATTGACTTAATGGCCTGTACCAGTGTTTAAAAGGCGACTAGGCGTCCAGGCGAGTGCTGGGTCCGCCTGGACGCCTAGGCGACAAGACGCCACTGTTTCCCAAGGCGAGCTGGGTATGCCTGGACGCCTAGGCAACACCTTTGAAACACTGGCCTGTACTGCGTAAACTTAGACGTAAATAAAATAAGTATAGCTCAAATAAGTATGACTTGAACAGCAAACCTATTAACACTAAACCTTAAGGCAGTAACTATTTGTATGACACATTTGTTAAATTGTGTGTTCCTAGAAGAAAATAGACACACTAATAATACTTTGCATATCTGGGAGCGCTGGGAGTATCAGACTATTAGTTGAACACAAAAACTAAAATGTGTTGCCATAGAAGCTGCCTCCACATGCTAAATTGTTCCAACGCAAGGGGATTCTCCAATGGTTCTTGTGGGACACCAGAACACTAGAACTTGATGGTCATGCCATGAAGACCAAAACGTTTCTCAAAGGATGTAAGCCACCAAAACACTTTTATAGCATGTGAACAAAACAACATAGAGTGATAGGGAGACAGGAAAAGCCTGATGATGCTAGCAAAACATGTTAACTTAATTCAACAGGTTTGCCAGGCAGCAGGAACAATAGTATTTCTTTGAAAGCAATATTCGATTACCTCAACATAAAAAAAGATGCTTTCTTGATTCTAGATCTAGATAACTTTTAACTGGTTAACAAACTCCATAAATTTACAATTCTTAAGTTTACAAACCTTCAGTTGCTGCATTTCCAGATGTAGCTGACTGGCCTGGATGTCTAACAACAAGATGTAATGTATGACCATCTTCGACATCTAAAAATGTTGTAAAGGAAAAGCAATATACTCGAACATGGCATGAGTAATTTCCTCATCTAAAAATAATGGAAGTCACTGTTCAACTGAAACAAAATAAATGAGATTAAGCGTGCTATTCACAGAATAGACTGTCATCTGTATCTTTCCATTACACAAGTTACCGAGATTCTGCTTTCAGCTGAATTATGAGATTTTTTTATTCATAATATTGATATTTGCTTAAGTCATATTTCAGAATATTCATATTCTGATTTATATCTTTACAAAATTCAAATACGAATGTTGTTGAGGCACTGTTCATTTGCATCCAATCCATTTACATCCATAACACCATGACTCCATCAATTTGGTAAATTTCATCTCACAATATTAGGGAAATGAATTTCTTAAAAAAAATTGCATTCACTTAAAACGTTAACAACATCACCAATAACATCATTCATTCCCAACAATCTCATCAGCATGAACCATAGGTTCCCTCTGACCGATAGGACATAAGGCTTTAAAAATATGATATATCAAACAGGATTATCAATCTTATGCTGTCAATCTACATACTTCTTAATCGATGTTAGAACTAAAAATGTTTAACCAGCAAAAATTCTAAATCTCTACATTTTCGATTGGAGGTAATATTTGAAACTAAAAAGACCGAATGAAAAAAAAAATTGGCCATGGAAAAAAAATAAAGCAGGTTGTCTTGCAAAGTACTAACAGATTAAACCCCAACACTGGATAATTAGGCAATTTTCAGAGATATGACATTATTTAATACTCCCTCCGTTCCAAATTATAAGACGTTTTGGCTTTTCTAGATTCATAACTTTTGCTATGCACCTAGATATATATTATGTCTAGATACATAGTAAAATCTACGAATCTAGAAATGTCAAAACGTCTTATAATTTGGGACAGAGGAAGTATTTACTGTGGTTGATGTCATCTACCGATAAAATACATAGGGCAGTCTGTAGGTGGAGTAAACAAATCTCACAAGACAAACAGAAAAAATAGAATAGAAGAATGAAACACTAAGTAGATAAGGATACGATAAGTAGACAAGAGTTCATCATCCTTCAAGACTCTCCCACGACAAATCAAGCGTTGCTGTTCAGACAATATTCCAGTTACAGTAGCAATTTTCTCTTTCAACAGAGGAACTGGCACCTGTAAATGGGACAATGGATCAACATGTGGCTTGCCTTGACAAACAAAAAATGACATGAAACATATTTCATGCACCCTCTAGTTTCAAAGCTGCAGATACAAATATATGTTATTACTCACCAGCAAAATAGTAAATGCATGGAGGAACAGCGCATAGGTTAGCATGTTATACCCCATAATCACCAAAAAACTATTTTGGTTTTTCATTTCATTTCTTGTTGTGATCTTAGCCGAGATTAAGGGTTAGCTCTACTGCATAGTTATCCTAGCGTGCAGTCTCACATGAGGCCATGTGCACAAACATATCCAGGTTCCCAGACGAAACTATCAGAGCTATTTGCTTCCAAGTTCCAACAACCACAAGCTAGCTACTTACCCGGAAAACAATTAGCCACAAGGTAACAATTGAATTTTCAAACAGTTTCTGATTTATAAGAAGATATGTTGATTAGAAATTAATCAATATGTTTTTGTGCTAATTTAACACAATTTTAGGAACAACCAACCATATCCCAATGAGTAAATAATATTTAATCAAGAATCTTACATACACATTTAAATATTTCTGAAATTTACAGATTGGAATTAAGTGCTGCTCCAAATGCCTCAGATCAACATGTTACATCACAAAAATGATTAAACATTGGATATGATGGATATTATAGAAGTGGCTTGGGAAAATTGAGCAAACTAGCCATTTATGTATACTCCCTCCATCCCATATTATTTGCACGTTTGTGATTTGAATTTTGTCCCATAATGAATGAACAAAGAGGCTGAGTTCCTAGGTACAGCACTAGCTAGAAGTAGCCAGAACCTTGTGGAATGAGACAAAGAAAAAAAAATCAACTTAGAAAAGGTAAAGGAAACCGATGGAGGCTTATCCCTTGTAGTGTGAAGTGGAGCATGTGAGCCTTTTTACACTGAATTCACAGGGGCAGCAGCATCATTTGCCATTTGTACTATGTTTCCCCCTCAAAACCTAGACGAACGATTATTTTGGGATGGAGGGAGTAATTCATAAACACTATATTTCTGAACAAATCTTGCATGGAAAATCCCTGAGCTTCTCACCCAAAGTATGCAACCACAAATAATAGCTCAAATAACACGCATGTAATTATGTAGAGTAAATATACAAACAGCCAGCTTATGAGATACATGTGCATTATCAACTTACACATTTATTCACACGCAAATTGTATGTCTCAGAATCCAAGGTCTTGATTTTGATCTCGATTGTAGTCTCGGAATCTTCAGCACAATGTTGCATTTGTACATCTGAAGTAGCCATGCTCTCCTGTACTTTGAATTTTAGAGTTGCAAACAGCAACTTTACCAAATAAATAAGTTCAGAATCCAAAACCAAAACCAATATGAGATCGCAAATATGCCATGACCGGTATCAAGAATCAAGACAAATTCATTACTATAGGTGTTGGTTGATTCACAACTAAACTATAATAATCACTAAAGCAGCACAACATAGGACAATTGAAACTCTCCCTGATCTAGTAGTCTGGGACTCACGAGTCACATATGGAGAGAGTCACTGTAGTGTATTCTGAAACTCACGAGTTATCTTAGGGGCGGACCCAGTAAAGGACATGCGTGTACACATGTACACCCAATAATTTTTGCAAAGCAATCGAAGTTAGTAGGCATAATACATGCATATACACCTGTAATTAGATTCAGATCCGATTACGAATAGTATGTTAGGGTTTGGGCGCGGTTTTACCTATGAACTACGTTAAGGTTTGGGCGCACGGCTTCGCACGGCAGGAAGGGAGGACCAAGGGGAAGGAATACCTAGTGTCCTGGTGATGCTCGTCGCCGGCCAAAGTGGCGAGTGGCGAAGTAGGAAAGCAGCGACGGTCGCAGGAACACCGGGGCTGCAGAGGGCGGACGCCGTGCCGGAGATGGCCGCGAGGACGCTGGGCCCCAGGTGGTGCTCGACCGAGCGCAGTCTCCTCTCCGGGTTGCGGCGCGGCGAGCGGATGGAGGAGATCGGCCGCGGGCGAGACGCGTCCAGGCGGCGGGGCAAGGGTCGAGCAAGGTTAGAAAAAAAATGCTAGGGGCCGGGAGAGCTTCAGCTTGTGTGAGGAGAATTACTCCGGACCGGCCAAAATTTCAAAATGCCAACTGCATGCGGACATAAGAATTACTTCTCAATTTACACTTCGAGCTCTCTAAGAACCTGTTTGGTACAGCTCCAAGAGGCTTCGGCTCCTATACTGTTCACACACTGTAGCGTGTCAGAACCGGAGCGGAGGAGCCAGAAATTCGAGCTTCACTGGCTCCGTGAACAGTAACCGCACTGCAGTGAGAGGAAAAAGGTGGGGGAGAGAAAAACAGCTCCACTGCTACAGTGATGCTACAGTGTTCGCCGCAGGGTGTCGACCGGAGCCAGAGCTGCCGGGAGCCCGGCCAAACAAGTCAGAATCAATTCTCATCAGCTCCTCATTTTGCCCCCTCCTAGAAATCCAATAGAACCACTTCATTGGAGAATCAAAGAGCGAAGCTGAAGAATCAGAGAGCGAACCTCTCCCAAACAAGACCAAAAGCGGTATCTATAAGTGACCTACTCCTAGAGCTTAGGCGCGCCTATATATTCTCTAGTGTCCTATTCTCTACAACTAAAACATACAGATTGTCAACATCTAACCGGCAAGACCAAAACACTCATACGATCCATATCCGCCAGGCAAATAATCACCGCATGGAGACACTGGAAGGCAAGTAAATAAAATAAAATAAAACTCACAGAATCACCGGCAAGCAAATAATCATCGCATGGAGACACTGAAAGACAAGTAAATAAAATGGAATAAAACGGAAAGAGAATTATGGAAAGAGAAAGGAATTTATTGGAATATCACCACGCAATGATCATGATCGTGATCCAAATCTCGTTCGTCGTCCTTCGCGTTGTGTGTTGACAACAAATATTTTTTCCCAAAAAATAAATTATTGCCATGCCTCATGCGGGCTAGGATATTGTAACTCCGAGTATACATGTTTTGGCAAGGCAGAGCATGGATAAATTCAATTCAATGCCTAACAATAAATTTTCAGCCTTTGAGGCAACTGATGTTTGTCGTAACTTTCAGACAACAAACTTCAAGTCTAGCTTTTATTTCAGATTCATTACGATAATGAATGTGTTTCTGGGCATTATCATGGTATAATACATGTGAAAAATTGAATTGATATATTCTCGATTTTGACTTGGCTAAAAAAACGTCTCATTCAATTTATGTTGCACCCGTTGCAACGCACGGGCACTCATCTAGTATACATCTACATATATTATTATCTTATAAAATAAATACATAAAACAAGAGATTATGGACTTAAAGTTATAAAGAAATGCTAAAAATAAAAGGGCTAGTCCACCTTACCTACTACAATTTATCATTCTCGACCTAAGTTAACACCTCGTCTAACCTTATCCATCCACCTCCCGTACTACTTTGCTTGCGCCCATACCTACCTCCTCCCATCCACACTTCTCGCCTGTCGGTGTTGCCTCTATCTCCTTCAGGCTACGACCATCGTCTATGCAACCTCGCGCCCATCGCCTCTGCCCGCCTTACTCCCACCATCCGCACGCTGCCGCTAGGTGCGCCCATAGCGCGCCTTCCTTTTGGTCGCGCCTGCCGCTAGCCTCCTCTAGGCACACTTGCTGCCTCCGCCGCCACCTGTCGTCCCTCCCTCAAGCAGTGCGGCCCTGGATCTGGGGCACGCTGCCTATTCTCCGTCTACCCCCTAGGCAAGGAGGTGCCCCTCCGCCGAGCGCATAAGCACGTCTAGGCGAGCGCTTTGTGAAACATTGGGGCAAGCTCGAACGCGAGGGAGAGGTTTTGACATGTCCATGGATGTTATTTCTTAGAATGCAACACTAGTGGACTGTGAACAAAGTGGTGGTTGTGGGTTAGGATGCATATGTTGAATCAACAATGGACTAAATATTAAGTGTTTGACTTGCATATATCTTCTTCTAAAATCTAAGGGTCTTTCAGCACTGTAACTTGAACTTACAGACAAAAAAACACATTACATGTCAAAACTAAAGAAGTATAAATATTTACACTAAACAAATGAAAAAAAAAATATTTCTACGCAACTATTTCCTTAGCTCATGAAACAATATTACATATAAATATGCCATAAAATAAGATTGAAAAAAAGTACTGACATCGTTGTTGGTTTATGACTATTATGACAAAACAATTCGAGTCAAATAAATAGCTAAACAAAATTATTTAGGAAACTATCCAAGTAGAAAGAAACATAAGCACTACAATTGAAAAAAAGCTAAATACGAGTCACCTGCTGGTTGTGGACACAAAAATATTTTGAAGCGATCTTGTTATTTTAGTTCATATCTTATACTCTTATAAAATAAAACTCCACTAGATATTTCTCTCAACGTGCAAGCTATCAACTAGACAATGCACTATCAAATACAATTAACATCCACTAAGCAAAACTCCACTAGCTATTTATCTCAACATGCAAGTTCTTCAACTATGCAATGCACTATCACATACAATTAAAGTCCAATAGCACATGCAACTGTAATGTCCATATCAGCAAGACACATAAGCATTTTATTGTCCACGTCATCATACTACGCAATTCACTAATCCGTAATTCCCGCAGCAACGTGCGGGGTAGTCCACTAGTTAACTAAATTATTTAAATCTTAAAAAAACGTATTCTTCTGTATCCTACATGGATCTCGGAGCTAGATTTTTAATCAATATATGGGGTTGTGATAGTTCTCGCTAGTTTGGCTTGACAGTCCCCAGAACAAATCTTTGGTTTTGCCATTAGTAGCGGAGCACTGAGCACAATGTCTTCTTAAACCGAACTCAAATCAGTTATTCTATGAAAGATTTCAGCCTAACGAATAATGCTAGCTTCGCTTCTGAACTTTTGTGGCAGAAAATTTCCAGCTGTTTGGCTGATAAGCCATGGCTGAAAGTACTGTTGACTGATTTGGTGTGAGAGAAAAATACTATTTATTGACTGATAAGCCATGACTTATAAGCCAAACACGACCCAGCGAACAGGCTCTTTAGGCCCCGTTCGCCTGGAGGAATCTAGATGAATCTGGATGAATTTGTGAGAAAAAATCAGCCGTAAACAGTAACTTTCAGCCGTGAACAGTACAATTTTTGCACCAGCCGAAAGATCCCTTAACCTTTCAGCAAATAGCTTCGCTGTCCATCAGGAGGCGGGACCTACCTAACCTAAGCATATGATCGATCCATATATTCCTTTCTTTTTATTTGAAAAGTTTTGTCCTAGTTTTGGATAGATATTTATCAGCCTGTTCGTTTGGCTGTGACTTATCGTAAATGATCGTAAATTTTCAGTCGGAATAATATTTTTCTCTCACACAAACCAGCCAGCGATACTTCTTCACAAACCAACAATGAAACGAACCAGCCAACCGAACATGCTGTCGGCTACCGGTATCTCCTTCAATCCTCGCAAGACCACGAAACTGGAATACGTCAGCACGTCACCAGACACCATCAGCATTCGTGCTACATCTGGCGATCGCATCGCCCAACGCGTGCGTTTGTTCGCTGCTGCACCGAACGCCGCCGAGAACTAGCAGTCTAGCAGTACCAAACCCAGGCAACACCACGATGAGCGCCAGCCGCAGGAGACGTCCCTGGACTGGATGTATCTCCGTGAAACAAAGCTGCAACACGCCAAAAACACATGACAGCAGGTTGCAGGTTCCGGCATGAAGCACGCGTTTCGTATGTACACAAGCCAACAAGGCAATGCGGCGGATACACGTGTCCATCGATTCTTCAAAACGAAACCCCCCATTTTTCCGTCAAGTCTCGCACAGTTCCCTTCAAAATTAAAAGGGGGAGGAAATGCTTCGACTTGGGTGTCCTTCCGTTCGGATGCCGTCTTGCTGTGCCTGCGGACGTTTCTGTTGATGGGCCGCGACGCCCAACGGCCCAACACTCATATCTTCTCGTCCACATGTCCCCAATCGAATCCGCTCGTCCAGCCTGCCACGTTCGCCGCGCTGCGACCGCGCTCCACCACGACCGCGCCGCCATTGCCCTTCACGGCTTCACTGCGACCGTGTTGCTTTGGCGTTCTCCACGGAGTCTGGGCGCTCGCCAGCCATCCCAGCCCCCCTGTGTGTCATCACCAGCTCACCGCCGCCACACAGCCCCCACTTCTCCCTCTGTGCGCCGCCACCCAGCTCCACGACCACGCCGTGACTGGGCTCCACCGCGACTGTGCCACCTC